ATGGGACTGTCCTAACCAATGAGAAGCACATCTGAGGCTTCTTCAGGGAAGATGTCCCAGAAGAAAAAGGCCCTTATCATTCAGCGCTGTCATGTGCTCACACTGACCAATAGGCGTTTGCCATTGCAAGCATTATGATGGATACTTGCTCCGGGGCTGTGTATGGACTACTATGCCAGCAGCACAGGGCATCGTGTCACCAGAGGGGTGGCCAGGACATTTGGCGTTGGTTCACCTTTTCATTTTAAAAAATTAAAAGGCAGCAGCTGCAAATACTGTAGCTGCTGATTTTTCATATTAGGGCACTTATCTGTCCAGGCATCCAGTGGTGTCCTCACCCAAGCCGATTCTTCAATGGGCTATTGGGTGCTGGCGTCAACATCTTGACTAAGTGAAACTGGCAGTGAAGCCTTGTGGTTTCACAGCTGGTTTCCTACTGCGCATGCATGTGAAAGGGCCAGAGTCTTCTGGAACCTGTAAAGTGTCCCAGAAGGCTGTTGGGGAAGGAGGGGGGCTGAACCTCTGGGTCAGTTCGCTGTGGCGAACTGAGTAGGAAGTGGGATCAGGTACCTGTCAAAACCAGGTACAGTACTTGCTCCCCCTTCCCACCCAAAAAGGTGACAAATGTGGCAGCGGAGGGGGGAGGAGGCAGACAAGTGGAGCTTATCCTTTTGGGTGGAACTTCACTTTAAAGTGCTACTTGTAAAAGAAAAGGCTTGCCTATCCCTTCTTTATAAGCCTTCAAAATCCTTTGTTCTAAAAAAAAAAAGTAAATACATTTTTTTTCAATATATGCAAAGAAGTCATATAAATCACAGAACAATTAGGATACTTATGCTGAAGTAAATAGAAATCTGGCATCCTGAACTCTAACAATCCACATGGCCCAGTCATCTTTAAACAGGTGAAATCCAAAATAATTAGGACTGCAGGGAAATATTTGTAGTAATATGTGTTTAAGACTTATTGCACATGATAAGGCAAAAGAATACATACACACATCTTATTACACAATGCTACCTGAGCAGCAAGAGTTCTTGGCAGATCTCAAATACAAAATAGAAATTATTTGAAGTAGAACTCATATGTGTAGAAATCCAGCTAGAGCTTTTTTTGGACAGAGTGAGAAGGTAGAACCTCAGTCAGCATTTACAGTAATTGCTGTCTGCGCCCCTATTGAGGACATTTCCAATTGCTTCCTGTCCTAGTCTCACATTAGGAAGTAAGAAAATGTGCCGAATGAGAAAACCACCTGTAACAAACCTAAGAGAGGACCTAACCTACTATTAATTAGAGAAAATCTGCCCAGCAAGGACGAAGACCAAAACAAAAACCTGAAAGCTTTGAACCCTTGCCCACTTCATCCAAAATGTAAAAATAAATACATTTGATCTATTCAGAGTTACTTAGACCCTGATTTACTAATGTGCCTAGACACATTTCTGTAGGATAAAGTCTACTTTTCAATAGAGTCCGTCTACTTTTAGACGGCAATGACATTTACTAAAGAAAGAGTCTAACAAGTAGACTCAAATTTACTAACTAGGCACAATCCAGGAATCAGTCTAAGAAAGCAGACGTGCAAGAAGCATGTCTAACACACAATGAAAAATCACTGCAGAAACATGTTCACATTGAAATTTGCTTTCCCAAATATCTGAACATCACTTTAAACAATATCTTACATTCTGCCGTGAGCTCTTTCTTTTTAGATGCTGTTTGATAGTAAATCTCTGTGTGGAGTCCTCTGACAGATGGCACTCGATCGCTTCTACTTTAACAAACCAGGGGCAGACTGACCATTTGGAAACTCAGGCACTGCCCGAGGGCTCGGGGTCAGTAGGGGGCACCATGAGATGCCCCTGGTACCCTTTTCATAGGCTTTTTTGAGTTTGGGCAAGGACACAGGGGCCCCATGATCCCCTATTGCACGGGGCCCCATGAGTTGTCAGTCCGCCCCTGTAACAAACAGCATGATTTGTAGATAGGCATATCTTTATGTATTCTAATTTGATTTCCTTAGTTCTATTGATTCTGTTTTTATTTTTTATCCTTTATAATTATTTCTGTAATGGTTTTACATATTTTGAAGGTCTAGATAATATATATTTTGACAAATTAATCTAAAAATAAAGGTCGGCAATTAAAAAAATGTAAAAAAAACGGCGTGGGGTCCCCCTCCTATCCATACGAAGCCCTACGGGTCTGGTATGGATCTTAAGGGAAAACCCCACGCCAAAATAAAAAAATAAATGGTGTGGGGTCCCCCCCACATCCATACCAGACCCTTATCCGAGCATGCAGCCTGGCAGGTCAGGGAGGGGATGAGTGAGCGCCCCCCCCTCCTAAACCATACCAGGCCACATGCCCTCAACATGGGGGGGTGCTTTGGAGCAGGGGGGCTTCCCCCACCAAAGCATCCTGTCCCCATGTTGATGGGGACAAGGGCCTCTTCCCCACAACCCTGGCCGGTGGTTGTGGGAGTCTGCGGGCAGGGGGCTTATCAGAATCTGGAGGCCCCCTTTAACAAGGGGTCCCCCAGATCCCGGCCCCCCCCCATGTGAATGAGTATGGGATACATGGTACCGCTACTCATTCACAAAAAAAAACAAAGTGTAGTGTACAAAAAGACGAGACACGGTCTTTGACAAGTCCTTTAATAAAAGAAAAAATCTAAAAGAATGTCCCCCGAAGTAGATCCAATGTCAATCATGATGCAAGCCGCTGGCGACCCGAAAAAAGTACATTTTCGACACCTATGTTGGTTTATTTTTATGCCGATAGGGCTCATTTCAGTCAAAACAATTTGGCAACCGAAATTTTGGTGCATCCCTAGTTTGAGACAAACCATTTGCCATTGACCGGGGTGCTTACAATGATCAGTTTTTTATGTATTCGTGTTAAATCTTTATCCCAAAAGAAAAAAAACTGCTGTACCTGCTTGTAGGACTGCAGTGTGAGCTGGAGAATCACTTCAGATTGTTAGTGTATCTAAATCTGCTAGTACATTTAACACTCCCATCCCACTAGACTAGTGTTTCTCAAACTTTTTCCTGTTGGGGCGCCCTTGAAAAGTATTTTCAGTCACGAGGCACCCCTCTCCAAGGCTTGGTTCACGTTGCTGTGTGTCGCTGAATGCATGCGAAATTACGCTCATTCCTGACACGCAGACAAATGCTCTGCTCTTTAGGGGTACCCCATACATTGGCAAATGTGGGGTGTTTTTTGTGTGGTGCAATTTTAAAACTAAGTTTAGGGACGACTTTCCCTGCATTTCTGTGGGTAAGCAGCCTATTGAAATGAATGGACTGCCCTACACACAGCCACACAGATGTGAACCGAGTGCCTGTTCACCTGTTGCCTGTTGGAGGGCTGTAAAACCACACAATTGAGCTGCTTTTACCACCCCCAACTGCTCCCCCTTTACCTGTAGAAACAGCAGCTGGGGGTATACACATGCTGTGGCCGTAGCTGGAAGTATACCTCCAGGTGAATGGGGTTGAACTACAACCACCCCGCAACTGTTTGCGCATTGCCGCAGTTGTGGTGTGGTGATTGATGCTACTTTTTACGGGGTTAAACCAGGTGGTGAGGAGGCAACCTATTGTCTCTTTACCACCTGTCAAATGCCTCTGAAAAGCGATCTGAACATGGATTGCTTTTCAGAGGAGCAGCAGTCCTTGCTGCTATTACGAACAAGTCATAAAAAAGCATTTTTGAAAAGACAGGAATAGGGGGCCAAGATTAAAAGTAACATACAGACACACGCGCACACACGTGTACACATATACACATGTACACACACGTACATATATATACACACACACACACACACACGTGTACACATACACACACACGTGTACACATACACACACGTACACATACATGTGTACACATACACACACGTACACATACACACACACAGGCACATGTATAGAGCCCTATAAAAACTGACAGTAACTTAGCGTCCGTCACATCCAGGTACTGCACTCTAGGGGGAGGCAGAGAGCACAGAAGACAATCTCCCCACAGCACCCCTGAAGACCTCTGGTGGCACCTCGTTCAGAAAGGCTGCGCTAGACTAACAGTGCTGCTGTCCAGTGGTACCCCTGTGCTCCTTTTTCCAGAGTGGAGGCACTCTAATACAGGAGATGTGTTACTGGCCAGATCACCTGGTGAAAACAGAGGGAAAAAAGCCTTAAAAAAAGAACACTATTGCAGACACCACATCTAATGATTGGTAGGCTGCAATATATTACATTTTTGGTTTTGTTCTTATGCACAATCTTTTTATTTAGTGTTGACACTATTTTGCCATTTGTGTTACTGCTTGTTGAGTTGCAATGCTTTTTATTGCCATTCAACAGAGTAGCTTTGTTGTCAGGCCTTTTGCTGCTGTGGTCTTGTGGTCTCTCCCTTTTGTCTTCCATGTCCTGCTTTACTGTGAAGCATCTCGTGGGTGATGGAGCAGTACCATGTATAAGAGGCAGGAGGGGAGGGCAACTTTGATGCTCCCAGGAAGTGTTGGAGCTTCGCCCAGTCAGAACAGATTGAGTTTTGGAAGTGGTGATTGTCTTTTGCATTAACCACTCACCTACCAGGGCACTTATACCCCCTTCCTGCCCAGGCCAATTTCCAGCTTTCAGCGCTGTTGCACTTTGAATGACAATTGCGCGCTCATGCAACACTGTACCCATATGAGATTTTCTTATCATTTTTTTGTGACAGAGCTTTATTTTGGTGGTATTTAATCAACTCTGGGGTTTTTATTTTTTCTTAAACAAACCAAAAACCACTGAAAATTTTGAAAAAAAAAAGTTTTAGTTTTTGTTGTAACATTTTGTAAAGTGATTTTTCTCCTCACTGATGTGTGCTAATGAGGCTGCAGTGATGGGCACTGCTAGGCTGCACTGATGGACACTGATAGGTGGCACTGATGGGCATTGACAGGCATCACTGATGGGCACTGATAGGCGGCACTGATAGGCACTGTTAGGCACCACTGACTGGCACTAATAGGCGGCACTGATGCGCAGTGATCGGCGAAACTGACTTGCACTGATAGGTTGCACTGATTGGCAGCACTGATAGGTGGCACTGATTGACATTGATAGGTGGCACTGACTGGTACTGATGGGTGACACTGAAAGGCAGCTCAGATGGGCACTGATATGTAGCATTGATGTGCACTGGTAGGCACTGGCAGGTGGCATGGATGAGCACTGACAGCTGGCACAGCTGGGGCTACACTGATCATCAGGGCACACTGATTATCAGTGCCCTGATGATCAGTGCAGATGTCCCCTCCGCAGAATGCCGATTAAAGGGCTCTCCTCTCCACAAGAGGAGAGAAATGCCGATAACCGGCATTTCCCTGTTTACATGTGATCAGCTGTGATTGGACACAGCTGATCACATGACTGAGCTGACATCTTCGGCTCTTTCCGTGGATCGGTGATCCGCTGTGTCTGAGGGACACAGTGCACCGCCGATCGCCACGCTGCGCACTCCCTGAGCCGTGCATGCGTGGTGAGAATGGGAAGACGTCATATGACATCCTCCCAGAACGAGAGAACCACCTTGCATCCGTCATATTACTAGTATTATAATTTACTATACGGCGGGCGGGAGGTGGTTAAAAAAAAATGTAGTCAGCCTAATAAAAGAGTGGAAGTGTTTTCCACATCAGCCAATCAGATTCCAGCAGGAGTGCGGATAGCTACTGAAAACTCTTATGACGCTCTGGGCAAAATTCCATTTTGATGGTATTCCCTAGTTTATTGATAAGGTTTCATACTCAATTCTCTGCTAATAATAGTGGTGCACCGAAATGAAAATTCTGGTGCTGAAACCAAAAATTCAGGATGCACTTGGCCGAAAAGCATATGTGGGGGTGGGGAGGCTCAAATTTGTTTTGTTTCTTTGTGTGTTTTTATCTACTTTTTTTAAATTATGTTTTTATTGCTATCACAAAGGAGACCAATAGTTCTCCCATGTGATATCATACAAGTGATAGGTCCTCTTTGGAGGGGGTGGGCAGTGTGTGCAAGGAGGGGTAGGAGAGGAGCAGTGTATACAGGGAGGGAGCAGTGTATACAGACAGGCTCCCTCACTTGCCTGCTGCTAAATGTCATTGCCAGTTTTTAAATGCAATTGCTTGCTTTTTTTTCTTTTCCTTCGCTTTATAGCTCCGAGAAGGATCTGTCATTAGCCCCAGTGACCCTGCCACTTTGTTTACTTTAGTGCCTTCCTGACAGGGCACTGGACAGAGAGGAGGACCCTGGAGCATTGTCAGGGGGACCCGAGAAGAGGAGGCTCAGCGCCGCTCTGTGCAATTTAATTGCATAGAGCAGGTAAGTGTAGAGATGTTTATTTTTAAAAAACATTTTTCCTTTACAATCACTTTAGGGCTGGTGTTCACATTGTTGCATTGTGGTGATACATTTGTGTGCTGCAATGCCATTCATTCCAAACCATACCACAATGCGCAGTGATGTAATACATTGCATTGTAGTGTGCTGCGTTACAAAGAATTTTCCATGTACCTTTTTATTGGCACATTGGGCAGCCTATTTAAAGGAATGGGTTGGCTTATTGGAATGTACAGAATACTGCGCATGCATTTACACAGCCAACAATGTGAGGTTAGGTTCACACGTATGCAGTTTGCGTTTGATTTGTTTCTGCGGTGCTTTTTGTGGTGCGTTTTGCACGTGCGTTTTTTTACGTATTTTGATTCGTTTTGTGCTTTTTTTGAAGTTTTTTTTCAACTTGATGTTGGCCAGAATAAAATGCAAAACACATAAAAAACGCACTACATGCTTTTCTGCAGCATCTCCATTGAAGTCTGTACAACCAAAAATGCAACGTTTTGTGTTTAAAAAAAGTCCCCGACCCTTTCCAAAAAGCACACCGGGTGGAAACATGGAGATGTGAACCTGACCCATAGGAAATCATGTTAAATGGGCTGCTGTATGTTTCTGGAAAACGCATAGGTGTGAACCTAGACTATATCTGTCCTACGTGACAGGGAGTCCAGACTCCTGGATAGGAGTATAAAAGTGACAGAAGTTCTAATCTTTCTACTCTTTATACAAACACAAAAAAAAAATACCTGAGCAGAGCAATTTTAAGGCATTTTTTTTAGCGTTTTTGCAAGATATACAAGCATTTTAGAAGTGTATTTCAAGTGTTTTCTTCAGTTTTAGTATTCAAGCTTCAGGGGTTTTTGTTTTAGCCAATGGAAAACACTGGAGGAAGATCATTTACATAGGCTAAACAATTTTCTGAAATACGCTTGAAAGAATGCTCGAGTTTTCAGGTGTTCTCATTGGAGTCTTTTGGGGCAAAAAAAATGCTAAATTCTGCCTGAAAAGTAGCTCATAAACTTTTCTAAGAGACAGGCGTCCATCTTCAAACAACAGGGTGCTCAGATGTGAATATGGGCTGTTGAAAACCATGGGATTTGGATTGTTGAGCGCTTTGAGCTTCTAGTTACAACATGCTAAGGTGTGAAAGGAGCCTTAAAGCACAACTTCACCCAAAAGGGGAAGTTTTGTTATATTTAATTTATTTCAGGTACTTATATAGCGCTGTGAATTTACACAGCGCTTTACATATATATTGTACATTCCCTTCAGTCCCTAACCCTCAAGGGGCATACAATCTAAGGTCCCTAACTTACATTCATACATACACGGGACAATTAACCTAGCAGCATGTCTTTGGAGTGTGGGAGGAAACCGGAGCACCCGGAGGAAACCCACACAGGCACAGGGAGAACATGCAAACTCCAGGCAGGAGGTGCTGTGGCTGGGATTCAAACCAATGACCCTAGTACTGCCAGGCGGAAGTGCTAACCATTTAGCCACTGTGCTGCCCATACAAAAGCCTCCCCCCCCCCCCCCCCCCCACACGCCTCTGACATATAACTTTTTTTGGGAGCAGGTACCATAGTTTGACACATCACAGGTCCAAGAACACTGTGGGACCATTCACAATGTGCAGTGGGCACCCATCTGTGAAGCTGCAAGCTGTCAGATTCAGGTGCCCACAGTTAAGATGCTGGCACTAAGAACCGCAGATAGTCCCCAGTACCCCCTGGGGTGAAGACAGTGCTGGATCCTGTTCAGGTAAGTGTCTGTTTATTAAAAGTCATCAGCTACAGTATTTGTAGCTTCTGAATTGTAATTTTCGGAAAACCAACTGGAGCTCCTCTTTTTATTACCGATTACTTTCCATACAACCTATGTATTGACTTTGTTATATTTTAACTGTTGTGCAAGATCTGACTAAGGCCACATTCACACCTCTGCTTTGGCCTGACAGTGTGTGGTTGCGAGAAAATTAGTGTTCGGTCCCCGCAATTAGCTGCAGGGAGGCAGCCACATTGGAAACAATGGGAGGCTACCGATTCCACCTGCAACTGCAGCCAGTTGCATGTAATCGTTATGTGGCGATTTACCTGCATGTGATTTGCCCAGGACGCAAATTTTCTGCATCCCAAGCTGATCACAGTAATCAATGTATGAATTACTTAATACATTGAGCACAATAAAATAAACATTTCCTATTAAACTGTGTGTTAAAATTCTTGCCCCAGCACTTGCAGTTTACAATTTTCCATGCTAATGGCTTCTGCTCTCTCAGTTCTGCTTCCCTGAACTTCTTGTCCTCACATGAAAGAGATAAAAGTGGACAGTGCAGTCTCAAGTCAGTCTGTTAGCTTGAAGGAGGAAGAAGCAAGGGAGTGTCTTGCCATCCTAGGCCATGGAGCTGTGTGTTTCTATTGATGCGCACAGTGTAGGGAGACACAACTCTAGTCCCTACATGCATGGGTGACTCAGTAGGACTGTGCAGGAGAAAAGAGCCAGCCTGGAACAGGAAACCTGAGGCATCAGTCACGGTACCAGCTTACACGGGAACATAGGCAAAGATTAAAAATATAGTATCAGCTGCTGAAAGTGCTTTAAAAAGCTGAGGGTTTAATATCACTTTAAAGTGTGGATGAATATTGTGCCTTGGCTTCCAGAGCAGTATTTAAATGTAATCCATTCAGTGGAGTATCTTGTGCATACAAAAGTTCTGTAATTGTCAGCAAAAAATGTAAGCTCCAGATAATTTTAGAGTGTTAGGCCCCTTTCACAGGGGTGCGATTAGATTTCAGCTTTTAGCTGCTGTTAGAAGAACTTATTTACCGCAGCTAAATGCAGACAATGCATCCCTATGGCTCCATTCACACACTGCACTTAGCATCATTTTCATAACACGATTTTATGCGGTTAGAAAAAACAAAGTTGACAGCGTCCTAGAGCTGATGTACCGCAGCTACCTGTACATCTCTGTGCCAGGAATGTTGGAATATCAAAATAAAAAAAACCTGCATTTACAAGCGGCAGAACAACTGCCCGTGTGATGCCTCTTTGATTGTTTTCTGATTCAATTGTTTTGATATTATTTCACATCAGTTGGATAATACATTTGAAGCATGTATGGCCACTATTAGAGTGGAAAGGAATCGGAACACTTGTCAGTGGTTTTTTTTTTTTTTCCGTCTGTGACCCTCTCTATTTGTCTTGGTGGCCATTATCACCAAAAGTGAAAGAATATCCCAAAGTATGAATGGCCACCAGAACAGGAATAAAGGGAACAACTTCCAATTGGGAATCTAGTTCTGGTGCCCCTCCTGGCTTGGGATGAGCTCAGGTGTGTTCAGATCATAGTTGGGACCAGGGGCGGACTGACAACTCATGGGGCCCCCGGGCAATAGGGGATCATGGGGCCCCTGTGTCCTTGCCCAAACTCAAAAAAGCTTATGAAAAAGGTACCAGGGGCATCTCATGGGGCCCCCTACTGACCCCGGGCCCTCGGTCAGTGCCCGAGTTTCCAAATGGTCAGTCCGCCCTGGTTGGGACCCATTTTCCCTCCAGGAACTATCCTCCAGGAAGCTGTCACTGTACAGAGCCAACCATTCACCGTCCTGCAGCCACATGTAGACAAGGGGCATGTAAAGCGCTGAGTAAACTGTTGGCGCTATATACAGTAAATCCTGTATATAATAATAATGTACAGTATATGTTTAGCTGTGGGGTGGGAAATGCGTTGGGCACTTATGTTTGGCTCTGTACAGTGACAGCTTCCTGGTGGAATAGCTCAAGTGGGTTCTGACTAGGATCCAAAAACACCTTAGCTCATCCCTAGTCATGACAACCTGGGATTTCCTTTTTACTTCCTTTTGTGACTATGGGCCAAGAAGTGAAGAGGAATCTTCCCAATGAGACACTGATGCACAGAAAAAAAACCTGACAGGTTATAACCATCCAAAATGAAATAAAAAGTTTTGTTTTTAGCGCTACTTTAAAGTGGAACTTTACCCATAACAACTTGATTAAAAAAAATGTTGTTTAGCAAGGAACATACATTCCACATTAATAATTATGCTGCCAAAATTAGTGGGTGCTGTAAATTGCCTCCAACATTGTTTCT